ATGCCCAGTACTCCATGCTGAGTGAGGGTGTAGTGATTGAGTAAAAGACAATCGTGACCAGTCCTCCTGTTCCTGTATGCCCAGTACTCCATGCTTTGTGAGGGTGTACTGATAGAGTGAAGGACAATCCTGGCTAGTCCTCCTGTTCCTGTATGTCCAGTACTTCGTGTCGAGTGTGGATGTAGTGATAGAGTAAAGGACAATCCTGAACAGTCCTCCTGTACCTGTATGCCCAGTACTCCATGCTGAGGGAGGGTGTAGTGATTGAGTAAAGGAGAATCCTGAACAGTCCTCCTGTTCCTGTATGTCCAGTACTTCGTGTCGAGTGTGGATGTAGTGATAGAGTAAAGGACAATCCTGAACAGTCCTCCTGTACCTGTATGCCCAGTACTCCATGATGAGTGAGGATGTAGTGATTGAGTAAAGGAGAATCCCGAACAGTCCTCCTGTTCCTGTATGCCCAGTACTCCATGCTGAGTGAGGGTGTAGTGATAGAGTAAAGGACAATCCTGAACAGTCCTCCTGTACCTGTATGCCCAGTACTCCATGCTGAGTGAGGATGTAGTGATTGAGTAAAGGAGAATCCTGAACAGTCCTCCTGTTCCTGTATGCCCAGTACTCCATGCTATGTGAGGGTGTACTGATAGAGTGAAGGACAATCCTGACTAGTCCTCCTGTTCCTGTATGTCCAGTACTTCGTGTCGAGTGTGGATGTAGTGATAGAGTAAAGGACAATCATGAACAGTCCTCCTGTTCCTGTATACTCATTACATTCACACTCAGCATGAAGTACTGAGCATACGGGAACAGGAGGACTGTTCAGGATTTTCCTTTACTCTATCACTACATCCTCACATAGCATGGAGTATTGGGCATACAGGAACAGGAGGTCTGTTCATTATTGTCCTTTACTCTATCACTATACCCTCACTCAGCTTGAAGTACTGAGCATACAGGAACAGTCCTCCTGTTCCTGTATGTCTAGTACTTCGTGTCGAGTGTGGATGTAGTGACAGAGTAAAGGACAATCCTGAACAGTCATCCTGTTCCTGTATGCTCAGTAGTTCATGCTGAGTGAGGGTGTAGTGTTAGAGTAAAGGACAAACCTGACAGTGCTCATGTTCCTGTATGCCAAGTACTCCATCCTGAGTGAGGGTGAAGTGATAGAGTAAAGAACAATCCTGGCCAGTCCTCCTGTTCCTGTATGCCCGGTACTCCATGCTGAGTGAGGGTGTATTGATACATAAAGTAAAGGACAATCCTGAACAGTCCCCCTTTTTCTGTATGCCCAGTACTCCATACTGAGTCAGGGTGCAGTGATAGAGTAAAGGACAATAATGAACAGACCTCCTGTTCC